GTCTCAAAAAGCTTCCCCAGGATTGAGGTAAGACTAACTGTCCTATAGTTTCCCGGGTCCTCCTTCCTCCCCTTTTTGAAGATGGGAACCACATTGGCCCTCTTCCAGTCCTCTGGCACCACACCAGAGCACCACGAGTGCTCATACAGCTGTGCCAGGGGTCCCGCAATGACCTCAGCTAATTCCCTCAGCACTTGGGGGTGGAGATCGTCCCGACCCGCTGATTTGAATACCTCCAGTCCCTCCAGATGTTCCCTGACTAGTTCCTCACTAACCCTTGACCTAGGTGCACCTCCCTTGGAGTCTGACGGGGGCTGAGAGGGGGATGGCTGATCCGGTCCCTGCTGAGGAAAATGGAGGCAAAGAAATCATTAAATATGTTGGTTTCGTTGTCTGGTGTGATGACCAAATTTCCTAGAGTGTCCTGCAGGGGCCCCACGTTACCCGGTACCTTCTTTTTGCCCCCTATGTATTTAAAAAAAGACTTCTTGTCCTTGAGGAATGACTGCAAACACAGGCTGAATTTTAAAACATCAGGAAGGGAGGAGTTATTGTCTCTTACAATATTTTTTTAAAGTAATAATGGCATTTAAAAAAATAAAGTCATCCTATTACTTTTAGCTTGGTCATTTAGTATCATTTGTAACCACTGGAGACACAAGCTGATACTTGTGTCCCAATTAAACACGTTCTTTCTAAAACTACATTACCGCATTATTGGAACTTGTTTTCAAGGGAAATGCTGGAATTGTATTGAAAAATTAATCTTTCTTTTACTCCTGATAGGGTGACAACCTTACAAAACTGTGCACCCGAACTATAATATGACCATATTGCATTTTGCAGTGACTAAGGGGTAAACATGGAAAACTTTCAAATACTTCAAAGATCAACATTTTACCCCATTTCTAATAGATTTTCACAAATTACTGACCCCGAGTGACGTTTGCTTTCATTTTTAAAAATGACATCTGTAATTGCAGTCTATTTAACACGATGCCTGTAGATCGCTGTGAGAGCATGAATTAATTTTTCATCTCGGCGTAAAAAATAACATCCCACTTCATTGTCTCTTTTTTCCCCCTCAGAAACTTCTAGAACTGAACAACCTTCACTCCCTCATGTCTGTGGTATCTGCATTACAAAGTGCACCTATTTTCAGGCTGACAAAAACCTGGGCTGTAAGTTAACCTCCCGTTATTTTCAGATCTTCTCCTTTCCGTTGCATGATTCAAACAATCTGAGCCTTTTTTGCACTTCCAGGCTAAAGGGAAGTGATTTACCTTCAAGGTTTTGCCATGTTCATCATAGATTCAGAAGTAATTTTAGTGTTTATAATAGTTGGAGTCTAAATAGCTGCAAATCTAAAACCATCTGTTTCCTGAATGAGAAATGTATATTATTCTATCATTTCTGAATTGCATATTTTAATTTAATTAGGATGTTAACTTATTTGCTTTACTTTCTTTACCTAATTTGTTAGTCGTATTCACTAGTTGTAATGACAGATTATAAGCTCTTTGAGTCAAGGACTCTCTACTGTGTGCTTGAACAGTACCTAAAATAGTATGGCCCTTATTTTTGGTTAAGCCAGCTACATATTACTGCAGTACAAACACTAATCCTGTTAAGCTGTTTTTCAGGCGAGCAGTGTTGATAGTTTTTTCTGCATGTCAAACAAAATTTTGACAACAAAAGTTTTGAAAACTTGCTCCAAACGGCTATGTCCAAGTTAATAGCCCTAAGCATTAGACCTGCTTTAAGTAAGGAGACTTTTACTTCCAGTTCTGCCTTTTGGTGTATGTAGAAGACATATACATGACAGCCAAATAATTTCTGGGTCTGAAAAGCTTTAGAAATCTACTTCCCACCCAGTGCCATTTATCTTATGTATACACACAGAACTTGCACCAAGACATGGATGTAACCAACTGTGGTATGTGTCCATATTTCTGCCATCTTTTCAGAGACCCTTTACTCAGTTGCAAAATTGCTTAGTTTGTACAAGTATTTGCAAAAATGCTGTCTATATTAGTGTGGACATGTGTCAAATCATTTTAAATTGACTGTTTGATGTGGTCAGTGTTCAGAAGGGTAAAGAACACCCTAAACATCTAGTAAGACCAGGAAATGGCCTATTATAAAAATTCAGCTGCTTTACTTAGAAAATGGGACTTATTATATAAACAGCATTTTTTCCCCTGGAAGCTTATTAGAGACACTTAGCAGGTGGATAATCAAAGCTGTATGTATGCAGATGCATAACCAAAGCATTGAAATCACTTAGCACCAAAGATCATATGTTTAAGTAGCCCCTGAATAGACTCCTTGAATACAACAATCTGTTGGAAATAGCATATTTGAAATTGCTCACAGCTCCAAAAGGGATGTATGTTTTTCTTTTCTTCACGTCTTGGAACCAGACACAATTTTCTGGGCATAAAAGAAATGGAAGCATGACCTTATTGAAACATTAGGCTCAAGAGGGAAGAGAATCAGTATTTTTATCTGCTTCCTCCTCTTGTCATTTTTTGCATTAGCTGTGGAAGTACTCCAGAAGAGATCACCTACTTAAAGAATAGGCAAAAAAACATCCTGGGCTAAGGAGATAAAATAATGGTTTTTTTAAACCCCTTTTGATAATATATAATGCTCAAAGCTTAAAATTAACCTCTGTTTCGGGG